TTCAGGATGATTCATGGATTTTGGAACCTGTGCATCCAAGATATTACCTCCTCTACTCTAGAAGTTTCACATAACAATGTACATCTTAGGCTACAACAATGAGTGGTTTTCCATACTTATACATACTCTGGTGAAGTTGGCCCCAGCCACACCCATTTTGCTCTCCAGAATACTCTCCCCCACCCCAAATTGCTTTTGCCTTTTCTCTAAACAGATGAGTACATTTCCAAACAAAGCACTGGGCTGCAGCAAATCACCCTTTTTATTTAGAGGTGTAAATCCGAGTGATGAACAGACTTGTACTTTGCTTTGCAGCATAACAGCTTCCTATGTTTTAAATTAAAAGAATATAAACAAATAAATTAGATGGGATAGAGGGCGTCCATGTGCCAAGGGAAATGAGATTTCCCGCTCTGGAAAGGAGAAGAAATACTGCTCCCATTTTTCCTATGAGAATTTTTTGAAATAAATAAATTATCCCTCTGATTAATTATTCTGCAGATTGGGTGGCAGGTAGCAGTCCACATGGACTACTACCATGTACTGGAATACTCAAGTAGTTTTGAGTCTTGACCCGTTGGAACATAGCCAATTTTTCAATTTGGGTTGTTTTGCCTTAAAGTCAAAACCAAACTTATTTTCCATTTTTGCATCTTTACTGTTCTCAACTATGAGACATGGACTCAGGCACTGTATCTGGACGAATCACTGCAGATCTTATGAGATTAATAAACATAGGATTCTATTCAACATGAGAACTTGGCTCTCTTGTCTTCATTGCCATGTCAAAGTACAAAATAACCATCATCCTCGAATGAATAAGGAAACCTGTAATAATAAGGGAGGCTTTGGGAATCCACTGAATCTCCAGCCTCATTATGATAAAACTAGACTTAAGCATGAGTGCTGAGCAAAAAGACAATGCCAATTTTAAAAAGGAGAAGATGCTACATCTTTAGAAAAGGCAATAAGGCAACAGCTAAAGCAACTGACAATATTGATGATGGACTCTTTTTATAGTGAATGGAGGTGAAGGAATGAAACATAAAACTGGATGTTCCATCAGTGACTGAGCAGTGATATCAGCTCATGGAAGAAAAGCAATTAAAATCATTGTAATGCAATAGTAAGAACTCACACTGTGACGGTAGAAAGGATCAACTTTTGTAGGGTATTTGTCAAACTGTAAAAGGATTGAAATACAAACTCATTACATTACATGTGCCGGGGGGAGGTGACACACAGTCCTTTGATTCAAGGAATAGTTTTGAATGCTACCCTATCTAAAGGTTCAGCAAGCAGTTCTTATAGAATAGATGGAGCATCCATGGGCGAGAGGGATAATAAAGTCAAGATGGTAGCCACAACCACAAAATTGAAGCCCCGCCCTTTTTATGTGTATTGCATGATGCACATTGAAAAAGAACAGGGCTTCAATTGCCAGTTGTGGTCACTGTCTTGACTTTTTTGATG